GACCAGTCAGCAGCGGTATAGCTGCTTTGGGTTGTCCTTTGGACAGGAGCGCAGCACCATAGCTGCTTTGGGTTGTCCTTTGGACAGGAGGGCAGAGCCCTCGGTAGTCCGCCATAGCCTAGCCATGAGAGAGGAGGAAGAAGGAGGGTATCCATAGCTATGGCGGACTTGTTGTTGTTGTTGTTGTTGAGTCAGCAGTAAGAGGGAACTTTGGATATTGATTCTGGTTCATCCACTCATTGTTATTATTATTATTGGGAAAAGAATAATATTGGCGAAGTGAAGGAGGAGGAGGAGGAAGGTGGAGAGAGAAAGGGGAATTGTCATTGGTCTTGCTGGTGTACATCTTCTTCTTCTTCTTCTTCTTCTTTCTCTCTCCTCTGGTCTCTATCTCCTTGCAAGTGCTTTCATTTCTTTCGCAATTGGGTGACATTGTCTTTCATTGTGAATTTGCACTTTGGGAATGACCATGATCGTAACGATTGGTATCAGAGCGGACTTATTTGCTGGCGAGAGGTGTTAGTCACCCTAAACCTAATTCCGAATTAGGTTAGGGCTAACCTAATCTCGGATTAGGGTTGTGAAGTTAGGGTTAAGAGGGGCAGTGAGGTATGTGGATACTGCCCCCCCCTGGTTAGGTCATGTAGGGTGGACATCAGACCTGACCAGGTTGCTTGAGTGATTGGATGGGGTGGCGAGACGCAAAGGAGGCTGATTGGAGTAAGCGAGAGGGAGTAGAGAGTGAGAGGTACTCGCACCTGGAATCTGCACTTCAAGAAGACATTGAGTGACTTTTGGGCTTCCCCTCAAGAGGGAGACTTGATCGGAGGCTGCCATATCTGCATCGAAGAGCTGCAAGTTGCTACTTTGGTCTTTAGACATCGGCGGGGGATCCGACTTTGCAACAGGGGTGTAGGAAGGCCCTCTTAGTCATGCTAGGACACTTCGTGTAGTGGTAGCTAGGGGTTAGGAGGACTTATGAGAGAGGGGGGTGAGTCGTTATCCATCTTTGGAGGCCGGGCCTCACAGGTAAGTGCTGTTCGACCTGGTTATGCTCGTGGGAGGTTGCTTGGTGCTTCATGGCCTGTTGGGGTGTGTTGGGCTCTCTTCCTCTTCTCTGCGGTCTTGGTTGTGTGTGTGAGCATGTGGATTGCTTTCTCACCTGATGAATGAATGGATGATGTATCTTATTCTTAATGACATATCTTTCTATGGAGCACTGTCTTTTCATTTCTGAACGGCTGTAGGGGTAAGTTCTTGTTGAAAGTTGTTTTTTCCTTTTCAGTACGGTAGAGGCAGTTTGGGACTGACTTGGTACACCTATCTCGTTGGTCCTGGTCCACGACCTACTTGGGACCTTCGGGACTCAGTGGGACCAGGCCCAATGGGACAGGACCTTTAGGGCCCAAATCTGTTGCCGTCAATGCATCTCTTTGCTGTGCTGAATTTGGGGGACATACGGCTAGCAAGGGCATTCCTTTCAAGGGGATCTTGACTGGTCTTACTGCATGTTATCACATACTGCCCCGCGTCTGGCTCGACGACCGTCTGCACCCCTCGAAATCTCCATTGCTGCAGTTAGTTTTCTTCGGCTGATTTATTGTGGTACATGTACCTTGTCAGGTTAGACAAGAGGGGATCTTTATTGTTGGGTGCTGCGTCTGGAAGGCCCCAGTTGGGGTAGTGCCGCACCGAGGAAGCTCGGGGCAGAGTCAGGCATGGCGGACCAGTCAGCAGCGGTATAGCTGCTTTGGGTTGTCCTTTGGACAGGAGCGCAGCACCATAGCTGCNGACCAGTCAGCAGCGGTATAGCTGCTTTGGGTTGTCCTTTGGACAGGAGCGCAGCACCATAGCTGCTTTGGGTTGTCCTTTGGACAGGAGGGCAGGGCCCTCAGTAGTCCGCCATAGCCTAGCCATGAGAGAGGAAGAAGAAGGAGCGTATCCATAGCTATGGTGGACTTGTTGTTGTTGTTGTTGAGTCAGCAGTAAGAGGGAACTTCGGATATTGATTCTGGTTCATCCACTCACTGTTATTATCATTATTGGGAGAAGAATAATATTGACGAAGTGAAGGAGGAGGAGGAAGGTGGAGAGAGAAAGGGGAATTGTCAATGGTCTTGCTGGTGTACATCTTCTTCTTCTTCTTTTTCTTTCTCTCTCCTCTGGTCTCTATCTCCTTGCAAGTGCTTTCATTTCTTTCGCAATTGGGTGGCATTGTCTTTCATTGTGAATTTGCACTTTGGGAATGACCAGGATTGTAACATTATCCGAAATTCCCATAGTACATTCAATTCGTCTCCTTTCCCTGAAGGGTTGTGCCCCCAGCATGCAAACCCAAATTACAACAGCCCAGACATATGGACCTCATCATGACTCGCTAACTCAATCAGGAGACTCGGGAGCCGTCGATCCCCTATCAGTAAGATGCTTTTCAGAGAAGCAAGAAGGATGCAATCACCAGTTGTGATGCCTGAAAATCCAGCAGTTGCCACTAGGTGGAACTTAGAGCCACCACTGCCCCTGTTTGGATGTTTCTGGGCATATGCAGCGCCTGGTATAGGTCATCCACCTCGGTGCCTGCATGCCCAGGTGCATTCTGACAATGGCAGTTGTGTACAGATCATGCATCTTGCAGTCCACATGTCCAGTTGCATTCTGGAAGTGGCAGTTATGGCATATCAGTCTGGTTAATGGCAATCATCGAACTCTAGACATGATAAGTTGTGGCTGCAGCCTTTTCTCTGTTAAGGAAGTGCCACAGGAAGAGCAAGGGTTCCCTTTTTTTTTCTTTTTTTTTCTTAAACAGCCCGAATGGATGCTAGGGGCGTTGGTAAGAGCAGACACCACTAGCATTCCCGGGGAGGCTCCATCTATTGGTGGGGAGCAGCACCTGCTGGAAAGCGGGTCCAGCGTCCCTGAACAATTTATCATTGTATCAGTTTATTTGAACGGACATGTAGTTGTGATGGTAGATATCTGCAGTGCTCAACTACAAGTACTGGTGTTTGGGAGGTGGATTTTATGTTGTTGCCTGATTGATATACCTACCTAACAGCCTACATTGAATCAAAAGTTAGTGGTAGTATACGCGAAACACATTTGTACTCCTGAAGGATTTGGAGACAGATCTCCCCTCTCTCCTAAACAAAAGTACTTTCCTGTTCCTATGTTGCAGTCTTGTGTATTGGAGCATTTGTAGTGTTGGACCCATTTAGGCCATGACATATTGTGGCTACTACAACCATTTTGCAATCAGACTCACTTTCGTTCACCTTCACATGCATACAAACAGGTTGCGCAGCAAAACTGGCGACAAGCGCCCCCTTCAAACTCAGAAATATGGAAACCTGGAACACAGTTCAGATGGAATTTCACTTCAGATGGCTCTGGCACATCAGCCCCTGTACAACTCTCTGTTCGTCACTTGCTCAACACTGCTGTTCGCACACAGGATCACCCTGGATATCCCACACGCACACACTGTACACTCGCACACTCACCCATGCCACTCTCTCTCCTATCCGCTATGGCGGCTATGGCCGCTGCTACCCTATCGCTATGGCTAAGCTTCCTTCTCGCCCGCTTCATCTTCGGGCCTACTGCAGACCACCTCGCACAAGTCGCTGTGGCAGTGCTTCCGCATGGCTTACGCAGGAAATGAATGAATGGATGGTCGCTATCTCTCAATTTATACTTATGTAGCTCGTTGGTCTGGCCCTTTCCCATGCCCGTGGTGCACACAGTCCCGTACGGTACTTGCTTGACTGGACTAGGACGGACTGGGACTGGGACTGGGACTGCTGACTCAGCACGGGTAGACTCCACCACTTGCCTCTGTCCCAAACGTTCACCTCTGAGCCCACCTGCGTCGCTAATTCCCTTGCAAAGTCCCTGAGTCCCAGCCGTATAGAGCGTAAGGCAATGTCCTGACCTCTACCAAACTGATATTGTTCTTCCTGGACCGGGGCCAGGCGCTCTATGTTTCTCACCATGATCTCCATCTTCCCCAGTAGGTCCACCTGCTTCGCCATCTGCGCTCTTTGCTTCTTTACCTCCTCCAATTCTTTCGCCGCCTGGCTCGCCGCCTCCATTCTCCTTTCCTTCTCCCTCGTCAGTCGGAACTTCCACTCCATCCTCTTCTCATCTTCTATAGCCTGCCGCTTGAGTGGGTTTCTTCTACATCCCACTCTCTCATGGCCGCCTCTTGTTCTTCCCTGGGCACATACATTAGTGCCTCCTCTTCTTCTCCCAAGGATAAACCAGCAACCCAATCCGTAATCTTCTTCGCCATCTGATCTTCGTTTGTTCCACTGGATTCTCCTCTCCCTCCTGTCCTTCGCCTTTCCAGTGGCGGTTCTTCTACCTCTTCCTCCTCTTCTACTGCCTTGAGCTTCTCTGCCGCTTCTTTCCTTAACCTCTTTTTTTCTCTGACCATCTCCTCCTCAATCTTCTTCAACTTCGCCGCCTGTTCTTCTATCAAGGCCTTCTTCTTGGCCTCCTTCTTCTCTCTTCTCTCTTTCAGGATGGCGGCGGCCTTCGCATCCTGCTCTGCTGTATAAGGGGAGGTGCTCGTTCCTTTATGCGTGTCTACCATGGTGATTGACGCACAACCAAGTGACAGTTCCGCTCCTCACCACTTAGGCATCCCCCCTGACCGACTTACTTAAGACTGACTTAGTCTATGGACCATAGGATCCGAATAGAACCCTTTCAACTATGGTCTCTAGCCTGGACTCTAATACTGTAGTCGTCAATATAGGATCTGTTGCTGACCAGGAGGCATTTAAGGAGATCCCCCGTAACTCCTCAGGAATTCTATAACGTCGCAAACAGGACAACGCAGTCAGCAGATCCTCTCAAGACTTAGACGGCCCGTTGTGCAGCCCACAACTCGGATTTTGGGCCTACCGTGCCACACCGAGCAGCCCGCCGGTCAGTATCGGTCCTTGGGAGGGTTCGTGTCCTCCGAGACAGTCGAGTCATCAGACACAGTCTTTAGCCCTACTCAGGCCATGTGGGTTTGGTCAACAAGGCCCTATCCTTCATACACGGAGTCCTATCACTTGGACATAAGAGACTCAATGCAGAAAGACGAGACAGACAGACTCAGACTCAGACTTAGAAAGTACCATAGGGTGAGTGCACATCCATAGGGCGAGGGGATAGGCTAAGGGCTTGAAGAGATTATACCAAAGCTTGGTCAAAATCATGGTCAACGACTCCAGTCAACACCTCGGTCAATGCTTGGTCAACACGGTCACACCCCGGTCAATGGTTCGGTGTAGGGCCAAACCCCAGTAGACTTTCGAGCCTTAGTCGACCCCACTGCGGGTCCCAGTCGGCTCGGCCCGCCCACGCTCATGCTCGGGGCGTGGGCCGTTCGTCCCGAGGTCACCCCCACCTAGTGCTTTGAGATAGATGGGGGTGGGCCATCGCGCGAGAGAGCTTTGACATTGGGGATGTAGCTCGGCCCTCACGCCGGGTGGTAGTCTCGTTGGTCGTTCCGCAACGCTGATTTTTTTTTATTCTTTGTTGTGTTCTCATGCAATTGCTCCTTCCAATACGCAGGCAATCCAAGGGTTCTTTGAGTGTTTCTCTTCTCTTGTGCGTAGGCTAAGCATCATCCTTAGGCCACGCACCATTTCCCTAAGCAATGTGGCTATATGGCGTCTCGGGGTGTGGCGGAGCCGTCCTCCCCCTCGCCTTTACGCATCCATCGGATCTCACAATTTGCTGTTTTCCTCATTGAAGTAGGCCCCTTAGTCCTTTCGGGGTCCTCATATGCATACACACATAACATCACAATTTCCTTGGTATGATTGCACTCTCATTTCCACTCCAAGTCCTCAAGCGCAAAAGTCATTCTCGTGGGTTGGCTCTATGTCAAGGGTCCCATAGCCCCTTTGTCCCTCTTCCCTTTCACTCTTGGTGCCCAGTTCCTCTCGCCCCTATCCCGCTCAAGGCATTTCTAGCCATCACTCACCTGCACAATCCCACACAAGCAAGAAGATCCATACAATCCCCCGTTGGGGGTCAACACATAGCCCTTCCCACATGCCTATCTTTTCAAATTCTTTGGCTGCTCTTTGTTCCCTCTTGTTGCTCAATCAACCCATTCTCTTCTCATAGTCAAAACTGACTTCACTTTCAACTTATGTTCTCTTCCGGATTCCGCCTTTCTCCCACTTTTTCAAACGTCCTTTCTCTTTTGCCTCCTTGGTGGCACAAGGGACCGACTATCCCCCCCTTGCCCTCTTTCTCCACCAAGTGAAGTCCGATTTCGTTTACCGTCCGTACCCTGGCAATGTTTCCAAGTGAGTGGAGAAGGGTTAGTCATATGCCAAGTGAGGGAACGGGAGAGAGGGAGAGAGAAGGCGAGGAAATAAGGGGGGAGGGGAAAGAGAGGACTAGAGAAGGAGGGAGGAAAAGGGGGAGAGAGAGAAGGAGAGAGAGAGAGAGATGTGGAGGGGGAGAGGAAGAGAGAGAGAGAGAGAGAGAGAGAGAGAGAGAGAGAGAGAGAGAGAGAGAGAGAGAGAAAAAAAGAGAGAAAAAAAAAAAAAAAAAAAAAAAAAAAAAAAAAAAAAAAACCATCTAATCAAATCAGCTCCCCGTAGCAGCAACCAAACATCGATCATCCGTCCCATACAAAAAGGTTGAATAAATATATCTTGGAATAACATGACAATGAGAAGCTAGACCAATGGAAAACACGTACTCATAGGGAAGGAGATCATCTAAACAAGATCCGGATCATCACATCAAACATGAATTTCGACAATGAGGGGCTAGACTAGTGGAAAGCACATGCATAAAGAGAAAAGACCAAGTAAGTAAAGATCCGGCATATCACATCAAACTTGAACTTGACAATGAGAGACTAGACTAGTGGAAAGCACATGCTCAAAGAGAAAAGACCAACTAAGTAAAGATCCGAAACATGAACTTGACAATGCACAAAGAGAAGGGATGAACTAAGCAAAGATCCGGAGCATGATCTTGATAATGTACAAAGAGAAGGGATCATGCACAAAGAGAAAGGATCAACTAAGCAAAGATCCGGAACATGAACTTTACAACGCACAAGGAGAAGAGATAAACTAAGCAACGATCCGGAATATGAACTTGACAATACACAAAGAGAAGGGATCAACTAAGCAACGATCCGGAACATGAACTTCACAAGGAGAGGCTAGACTAGTGGAAGCGCATGCACAAAGAGAAGAGATCAACTAAGCAAAGATCCGGAACATGAACTTGACAATGCACAAAGAGAAGGGAACAACTAAGCAAGGATCCGGAACATGAACTTGACAATGCACAAAGAGAAGGGATCAACCAAGCAAAGATCCGGAACATGAACTTGACAATGCACAAAGAGAAGGGATCAACTAAGCAAAGATCCGGAACATGAACTTGACAATGCACAAAGAGAAGGGATCAACTAAGCAACGATCCGGAACATGAACTTGACAAGGAGAGGCTAGACTAGTGAAAGCACATGCACAAAAGAGTAGAGTTCAACTAAGTGAAGTTCTGGAACACGAACTTGACAATGAGAGACTAGACTAGTGGAAAGCATGTGCACAATGAGTAGAGATTAACAAGGAAAAAATCTGGAACATTACATCCACCTCGAACTTGACAATGAGAGGCTAGACTAGTGGAAGCACATGCACAAAAGAGAAGAGTTCAACTAAGTGAAGATCCAAAACACCACATCAAACATGAACATGGCAATGAGAGACACGACTAGTGGAAGTACATGCTCAAAGAGAAGAGATCAACTAAGCAAAGATCCAGAACATGAACTTGACAATGAGAGACTAGACTAGTACAAAACACATGCACAAATGAGAAGAGATCAACTAAGCAAAGATCCGGAACATGAATTTAACAATGAGAGACTAGACTAGTGAAAAAACACATGCACAAATGAGAAGAGATCAACTAAGCAAAAATCCGGAACATTACATCAAACTTGAACTTCACAATGAGAGGCTAGACTAGTGGAAGCACATGCACAAAGGATAGGAGATCAACTAAGTGAAGATCCGGAACACCACATCAAACATGAACTTGACAATGAGAGACTAGACTAGTGGAAAGCACATGCACAAAGAGTAGAGATCAGCAAGGTAAAAATCCGGAACATTATATCCAACATGAACTTGACAATGAGAGACTAGACTAGTGGAAATACATGCACAAAAAAGAAGAGTTCAACAAGGCAAAGATCCGGAATATGAACTT